AGTAATTAAATTATTTTAGTTTAGGATTAATTTATGTGTTATATAATTTAAATGTCATGAGGCTATGAATTTAACTGTTTTAACATTGAATTGTGTCACTTCATGTCTTCCATAGCTAACCTGACTTTTTGACCAATCTGATGAATATTTATGAGCATTTTTGCCTCTCTTATTCTGAAAATTCCCAAAGTATTTTCCTTACACAGTTTTTGAGTTTCATATGAACCAGAAGATGCTAAGACTTAACATACATACATCATCAATGAGAAAACACATTATTAAAATGCTTTTCCACTTTGTTCCATTATCTCTACTTTTTTCAGATACACTTCTACAAACTACTAACAGGCATAAACACACACACATGCACACACACACACACACACATATATGAATAAAGACAAAACGAAACTGCACTAAGAGAATGGGATACTAAATAAAGATAATGACATTAATAATAATCTCTATCTATAAAAGGCAGGATGTGTGTGTGTGTGTGTGTGTGTGTGTGTGTGTGTGTGTGTGTGTGTAATGAATGCATGGACGCAATTTTCGACCGATTTGCACCAAAATTTATATGCACATTCTCCAAGTTAGCGGGAAGGCTAAGATTGACTTTGCATTTCCCAACTCCCATCGATAGTGGAAATAATGGATTTTTTCATGCTTCTACAGCAGTTTTCATGTAGTATGCGGCCATTTTGTACTGGTCAGAGTGAGAGCCTATAGCTAGCTGCCATGAATAGGCAGGAAGATTTTATTGGCCAGTGTGAGAGCCAACAGCTGACTGACACGAATGTTAACTAGCATGCTAGTATGCAAAAAAAATCAATAGCTGCATTCGTCACAAGTGGGAAAAATTTAAATCTGCATGGCACTTTACTCCAATTGGCTCATTCGCTTGCTTAAACTCAACGTTGATTCTGATTCCGCAGAACTGGGTTGGGTGTGAAAAAGTATTTGTTGTTAACATTCTTTTTCATTCAGTTTTTCCAGTTACGAGTCCTTTTTAAAGCTGATCGTTTTGTGTTCATTTTGTTTAGTTCTTTTTTCGTAACAGATTTAATGTTTAGTATAGAGCTTAGAAAAATTTGCATTGTGAGATAGGCAAGAAGTAAGGCATGTAGCAACATCAGCACAGCAAAGGGCACTCCTTTAAAGGCAAGGAAGGGCAAAAAATATTTTAAGTCAAGTGATAGCGATTGCTGTATGAGTCGATGATTTTTTGAATCAAGCACGGGCAACATCGGGCCATGCTGCTAGTGATAAATAAGATAAAATCAGACATAATACTACCAACAAATTCCTTTACCTCTACTATACAAAATAATTTATCCAGTTTTGACAATATCAAAATTATTAAAACCACATCCACAACTATTATGGATAGGATCAGGACTAAAACTGTTCATAACAATAATAATTTTGAAGCAGGTCTTATATAAAATAAACTTTCAAGACTGTTCCTTACAATATATTAGGGAAAATTAAAAAAGAAAATATCATTGCTGATCTGACCCCGAACTACCATCAATCCGGATGAACTTAGGTCTTCTTGGGGAAGCAATGTGCCTTGAAAGACTGCTCGTCCTCAGACTCATACCCAACCTTAAGTGGAACTCATACATATGATCCATTGTTAAAGATGCAGGTAAAATGGTCAGCATTCTGTACTGCTTCAGTAATTGCCTGACTCCTCCTGCTATCATTTACCTTTACAAGAGCTAGATCAGGCCAAAAATGGAGTACTGTTGTCATATTTAGGCAGGAGCTGCCCAGACTTCATTCTCCAGCCTTGGGCGATGACTTATTCTTCAACCATTCAACCTCTCTCTCATAAGCGGGATGTGGCAAACCTCTTGCTTTTTACTGCTATTTCCATGGTAAGTGCTCGAACAAACTACATTCCCTGGTCCTACCAAGGCAAACCTTCTCAGTAAGAACATACCATGCCACTTAAATAGTAGCAAACCACCCACATTCCTTCTGTATTCCATCGGGGAGAAGTAAGTTCCACTTGAACAGCTTCTTCCTGTGAACCACCGCTCTGTGGAACAAACTCTCAAGTGGGTGTTTTTCTGATCACTGCAATCTTAACCAGTTCAAGGCTAGGGTTAACCATTATCTTCCACTTCTATACACACAAATGGCCTCCTTGGCATTGTAAAGGGTGAACCTTGCTGTAAAAAAAATTGTCTGCTGCTGAGAAAGTCAGTTCAGTGTGAGACAATTTTTCTCCCTGGAATTTATCTTGCATATCTATATGTCTACCATTTGTCCATGCTTAGCATATTGCTGCCATATCTTGTCCAGTGCTTGTGCTATTTACCTAAAGAAGAATCAGCAATATTATTGGTCCTGAAGGTTGCCTCTCTGTGCCTTTTTAATAAATAATTTCATGCTAATTGCTGAGATGAGCTCTTTGCTATGGTACCTAGACATTTTTAATTTAAGCACAGTACTAGACTGGCATTGAGATCTCATCAATATAAAGTTGAGCTGTAAGTTCTAACCTAACAGTTTCTTTTCTTGCATCTCTCACTTGTGCAACTCTCTTCCGGTTTCATGCCTTACAGCCAACTTTAATCTGCAAAAATTTAAATGCAGTGTCAATTGCTATCTACTATCCTCCTGGTTACTCTTTTCTCTTTTTACTCATCACTAACGTTTCTCTTCCTGCCGGTAAATGTTGTTTAATATTGTTTATTATAAACAGAGCATTTACTTAAATATTTTATCTATAAAAAGAATGTTAAACATAAAAATGTCTTAAAATAATTGTCGGACTTTGTCCATTTCATAATATATATATATATATATTAATGGTCAGTTCTTATTGAATCAACAGAGTTATGCATCATTGAGCTTGGCCAGTACTTACATAAGAAAACCGAATACTGTAAGCAATAACATAGGTAATATAAGTGTGACAGGATTTGGAAAACATATTCTCACCAGTGTCTTACTATCAAACTATTCAAGTTGTATGCAGTCCAGGCATTCTCTATTTATCTTGACTTGTTCTTATTGAAACAAGGCTGTATCTGATGCTGTAATCCATACAGTGCTGAACAAGGTACGAATGATTAGAAAAATCCCGCAAGTACTGTAGGGTTTCCAAAGGTTTGGTGAGGAAGAATTTCTCCCTTTGTCACAGCTTCGTTGGTGGCTGTCCAATGAGTGGACAACTTTCATCATCACAGTTACCTCTATTGGGGTTGATAAAGCTTATGAACTGTCTTTTTATGACAGTCTGCCAACACCAATGTGTAGATTCTTTGTAAAGTATCCATGTCTTGAAAAGTTACTTGTGAATGTGCATATAAGCTGCTCCTATATGTGCTGAGTTATATTTAATTCAAGAATTCTCTGCACATATTCTGTCTTGGCCTTTTTCCCTACTATAGCCAGAAAGAAGTGAGAACATTTGTCTTTAATCTTGCTTAATCTGAAGACTTGAAATTGCATTTCATATACATCAGGTAATGAAGACAATAAAAGTTTGGTTTCATAGCATAATAAGTCATGGAGAAAGACAGAGTCAGTAGGATTTGAAATAAGAATTCCATCAGGTTATGATCAGCTTCTTCTTCTTCTATGTTCTGCATCTCTTCAGGACATAGGCGATCATGGCTCTCCACAACTTCCTATCCCTTGTGTCCCTTACCAATTTCTTTTTCCCCTTTGCTAAAGCTCCCACCTCTATTCCACCCTCCATTCACACAAGATCATCAGTTACATAGCTCACTGTTTTCCCCTATCTCTCTTGTCCTCACTTTGCCCTGTGTCAGTTAAGTTTTCAAGGTCTCCTTCCTCATTATGTACCCAAAGAATTCCAGTTGTCTTTTCCTGATTCTAAAAGTGCTTTTCCTCTTGCCATTTTCTTTAAGACATCCTTATTGCTTGCCTAGGAAAAGTATGAATCAATCTCTTCTTCCATCACCCCTCCCCCATCAGCTGGCTATGGGTTACACAGACCGGGCTCTCTACCATGAGATGGCAACCTGTCTAGGAGAAGAAAATACTGAATCCAAAACCATCCTTAGATACACTATTGTTGCATTACATGTGTTTTCCCTAAAAATCTAATTACAGGTTACAAGACTTGATTTGTGATGACATCCTTGTTTGAAATTTATGCAGTTTAAGATGAAGCTCAAAGAATATATAAAACAAATATTCTGATATTAATAATGATAAAATATAAATGTGTAAATGAAATGTTTTGAATTATGAAAATGTTTCATTGCAGAATTTCTCACAATTTGTGTATAACAGCTGAAATATTAAGAAAGATAAAAAGTAATTTTTTAATGCTAAGTCCTTTAAGGATGTATGTGATCATGACTTTCCAAAGATTCCTTTTCTTATCTGTGAATTGCTGTGTATTTTTGAAAGATAGTGGAGTGGTTTCCTATTGCCTCCTTAGAATTCAGGTTTTTCCTTCTCTTAGACAAGCTAGCACCCAAGTCTAGAGAGTCCAGTCTACCCTGCTATTTAACACATAGCTGAGGGTGAGGAAAATATATAGATTCATGCCATTCGTAAGAATATTTTTCAAAAGAGGACGCAACAAATTAGCCAAGAATTTGAATTCAGTTTGCTGATTCCATTTCTGTGCTGATATCGGCTACATCATCTGCATGTCCAAGATAAGAAACCCATTCAAAGCATTCAGAATAAGTAAAATATTTTATTTCAAATTTTCACATCGAAATAAAGAAAAGTTTAAAATAAAAACCAAAACACTGTAATGAAAAAATAACAAATAGTAATCAAGAAAATTCTACATTTTTTTATTACAGACATTACTGATGAAGGTCAAAGAATATATCAACTGAAACTATGTAATAAAAAGAATAAGAATAACAATTTAAAAAGAATGTAGCTATGGAATATCTTTTGTTAATGCATTGTGGTAAAAACCTTCCTTATATTAGTAATAAAGCAGATATTTGTCTAAAATAAACTAGCCATGTTAAAACGTCATTCTTATGAAGTTTTTCTTTCGTTCTCTTAATCTTTCTTTTTTCCTTCTCTTCTTTCTTCTATTCTGTTTCTTTATCTTTTCTCTTTTTTCTTCTTTTTTCTTTTTCTTTCATTCTCTGCATTCTTCCTATTGAAACAGTTCTAGTCTCTTGGAGGAATTTCTTTTCTCTTTTTTTCCCTTTCACTTCCTTTCTTACTCTTTCCTTCTCACTTCTTCTCAGTGTTTGTTCTCTCAATTCCTCTACTCTCATTTTGTTCCTTTCACACTGAAGCTTTTCCATTTAAAATTTTATGTTCTTTCTTTTTTTCTTTTTCTTTCTTTCTTTCTTTTTCTTTCTTTTCCTTCTTTCTTTCTTTCTTTCTTCATTCACAATCTCATTTTTTTTCTAATACTCTAATTACTATTTCTTTTTTTCTAAAACTTTCAGCTCTCCTCTCAATGTTTTCTTACTTTCTCTTCCTCTTTCTTTTTGGATCTGTTTTCTTTTAGTCTGTCTCTCTCATCATTAACAATTCCTTTTCTTTTCCAAAGTTCTCAGAACTTCTGGAATTTTGTTTATGTTTATATTCGACTCTGGTTTCATAAGAACAAGTCACCAGTTTCAAAAGCCAGTGAACAATTTCGAAGAGCCTGAAACCCTATCGGATAGGTTTTTGCTTTGATGGACTTCTTGATTGCCAACCTATTCAGTGTGGAGACAGATGGTGGTTTCTTTAGGCTTGGGCGAGGGCAGGATTGGGACCTTCTATAGGCCGACAATTTTTTTCTTTTTCTTTCCTTTTTGGAGAAAACGGATTTTAAGGATTATGTTTTTTGGGGTAGCTGAGCTACCAAAATTTTTATGATTTTTCTTCTGTGAAAAGAAGCCAGTCATTTCTGAGATTTGCAAACTCTGTGTCTCTTTTTTAAAAATTTCGATTTCTCTATTTTTTTTGCTCTGCTTTAAAGATACTGAAACATTAGTTCTTGTTTGATCACTGATGTTAAGCAGCATTCTTGTCGGATTTGTAACCATTCCTTGAATTCCAAATTTGGTAAGTAAAAACTGGCAAGGAGTTTTCAAAGTTCAGTAAACTTGGCTAAAAGTACTGTAAAAGTTCTACCTGGACAAGTTATATAAGTTCTGTTTATCGTTTTATTCATTCTTTTTTTTAGTTATTTATCTATTTCAAGATTTCTATCTATCTATCTATCTATCTATCTATCTATCTATCTATCTATCTATCTATCTACCCCAGTCTCTTTCTTTCTTTCTTTCTTTCTTTCTTTCTTTCTTTCTATCTATCTATCTATCTATCTATCTATCTACCCCGGTCTCTTTCTTTCTTTCTTTCTTTCTTTCTTTCTTTCTTTCTTTCTTTCTTTCTTTCTATTTATCTATCCACCCCAGTATCTATCTATCTATCTATCTATCTATCTATCTATCTATCTATCTATCTATCTATCTACCCCAGTCTCTTTCTTTCTTTCTTTCTTTCTTTCTTTCTTTCTTTCTTTCTTTCTTTCTTTCTACCCCAGTCTGTTTCTTTCTATCTATCTATCTATCTATCTATCTATCTATCTATCTATCTATCTATCTATCTATCTAAGTCTTTTCCTATCTGTCTAACTATCTATCCATCCATCACAGTCTGTTCCTATTTTTCTCCAGCATCTGTAGTTAGTATTTTAGTCCTTGTCAAATACTGATTTTAAGATACACAATCAATCCCATTTGTACGGTTGGCAAAACTAAACTGTCCCCACTGCCTACTGGCTGACACTACTGGAATAAGCTAAATCGTGTAAATATTTATTTGTCTAGAGATATAAACACACACAAACTCACCCAAACACACACATAGCTACACAAACTATTTCACATATATTCAGATTTGTATATATGGTGACTTACATGTACAAATAAAAAAAGCACACACTTAGCAATATATACAGTGAAAATACATATGCACTCAACACACAGACACATATGAATTTGAAAATAGTGATTTTTACTCACGCAATCAAACACATGGACATTGGTACGCAAATAAATGGCTACACATTTTCATATGTTAATAGAAACAAACAAATACAATTTGTGTGTTTACTAAGGTATCAGAACATACCCTTATACATTTACACAATAACACAGACAAAAGTACACACTTATGTTCTTGTTTTAAAATAGACACAGGGACATTCATCAGGCACAAGAACACACACACACACACACACACACACATGTAGACACATTAACAGAGAGAAAATAAAACAAAGGCTGGTAGGATTTCACTCTTTGGTGGCCAAAATAAAAGAATGGCAATTCTGATTCCCATTTGGTGTTGCTCTTGCATGCAACATTTATTCTGTGTTTGGCCAATGGGAACCTTGGCAATGGAGAGAAGAAAATGCTTAACTGATGGGAAAATTCTCCTGGGAAATCTCCTTATTCTTTTTCAATGGTAAATAAATAGCCAGTCATCAAAGTAACATTAACACACACAGACACACACACACACACGCACGCA